ATTGAATGAGAAGTATTCAGCATGGACCCAGTGATCCCACATTCCCCCCCCACACCTTTTTTTTTTAAGGTTTTTCGAGACAGGGTTTCTCTGTATAGCCCTGGCTGTCCTGGAACTCACCACCCGGCTCTCCTCACCTTTAAAAATGAAAATGATTATGTCTTTAAAAAAAAAAAAGAAAGAAACAAAAAAACTGTTACCAAACTTTATAACTTTACCATAAAAATGGGTTAGCGTATGATGGAATCCAAAGCATCCTAATTCTAAGACTTTAAATCTTTTCTCTCCCCTCCCCTTTTTAACACAGCATCCTTCATATTCCTAGTGTATTTTGTGGTTGCTGTTTCTTGAGACAGGGTCTTGCTAAATTAAATGGCCCTGCCTGGCTTTGAATTCAAAATCCTCTCATTCTTCTTCCCTAGCACCGGCATTAAGGGATAGCAGCACCAGGCCTAGCATCTCTCTACTGCCTTCCCTAACCCACTTCTATGGTGAGGATGGTGTGTCAGTGTGAGCCTTTACGGCTCTACTCCGTTTCAATATGCAAATCATTGAAAGACTCAAGTGTGGCTCAGGAGTTTAAATGGACAGTCTATCTGACATCTTAAGGCTCAAGCCCAGAGATAGCCCAGTCCTGTATAGCCTATGCGTTCCTCTCCTTAACTCTCTTACTGTGCCTTAACTACAGTCCTTCTGAGCTGACAGCCTTCCTATGACAGCTTTTGCTAGTCATCTTTAAAGGCCTCATTCACTTTGATAATAACCATAGACACAAATTCACAATTTAAAAACTGTGATAATCTCAATTTAAGTTGGTAACATTCCACATTTGGTATTGAATCTGGTATCACATTTCCAGATTCAGTGAAATGATAGCGGAAACCTATTGATCAAATAATCTACAGTATTTGGTCAAAAATGGTCCAGCTCTCAAACATGCCTTCCCCCTGCCTCTGCTCTGGGAAGGGCCTTCTGAACACATGTACTTGGTAATGAATCTCACATCACTGATTATATGGAATAATTTGCAGAAAGTAGCCAAAGTATGCCACGTAGTTCAAAAAAAGGAAATAAAAGCTAAGTATAGTGGCATAGTCCTATGATCTCAACACTCATGGAATAGGATAATAAAAAAAACAACCTGAATTTCAGGGACAACCTGAGCTTAACAGTGAGACTCTATCTAAAATACACACGCACACAAACACACACACACACACATCATGGAAATGAGATGGGTCACTAGTAAGGCAGAAGCCTGTGCAGTTTCACTAGCATTCAGAGAAGTAGCTTACTTTAAAGTTTGATATAAGGGAGCCCTGGTGGAGGGGATGACCTTGAGACCAAGGCAGTATCAACAGCTCTACAAAGGATACATTGTTGGAGGTTGGCTGTTGACAGAGGAGGCAAAGATTCACTCTGAACACAAAAGGAAAGTGCTCTGCAAGTCTCAGCGTGTTCCCTAATGAGCAGATAGGAGATGGGGATGTGTGTCCTACAGCCCACCTCATTCCTGGGTATGGGGCTGCTCCAGAGGCGTACATTCGTGAGTTTGTCCCATCTATTCAGGTACAGCCACGATTGTACTGTGGTAGAGAGCCCCAAGTTACACACTGGGAATTGATGAGAATTTCTCAAGACATTTGATGCCACGAGCACCAATTCTTTCATAAATATAACACGTATCCACTGCTAGGGAAAATGTAAGCTAGTGCAACCACTACAGAAATCACTATGAGTTTCTCCAAAAAGTTAAACATCACACTGCCACATGACCAACTATACCAGTTGTGACTGTATGTCTAGTGGACTCTATATTAGCACAGAGATATTTGCACACCATATGTACTACAGCCCTGGTCGCCACAGCAAGGGAATGGAATCAGTCTGGATGTCCACCAACAGAAGAATGGATAATGTTTACACAATGGAATTTTACAAAAGGAATAGCTTATGAGTCATTTGTGGGGAAATAAGCAGAACTGGCAAACACTACATAAAGTGAGGTCACACGCGTGCTCTCCTTCATATGCAGACCTAACTTTTAATGATTATATATGTGTATATAAGGAAGTGGGAGAGCAGACATAGATTATGAAGCTGTATCAGAGACTATGAGAAGGAGACGGGGTGGGGTGGGGGGAGGGTTTGAGAAGGGAGAAAAAGGAGGGGGAAGATCTTCTGTCATCTGAGGACTGAAAGGAGGCTGGTGGGTGTGGGAGGGCCTGAGGGAGCACAAGGAGATGGGAAAGAAGTGTGAAGAGAAACTATACAAACAAAATGATTTAAAGATTCCCTAATAAGAATGTTGAGCCGGGCGGTGGTGGTGCACGCCTTTAATCCTTTAATCCCAGCATTTGGGAGGCAGAGGCAGGTGGATTTCTGAGTTCGAGGCCAGCCTGGTCTACCGAGTGAGTTCCAGGACAGCCAGGGCTACACAGAGAAACCCTGTCTCGAAAAAACAAAAAACAAACAAACAAACAAAATGTTGAAATGGTCATAATTGGAACAGGGAAGAAATAGCTAGAATTGATTGTGTAACCATAATCGCAATTGGTAGAAATCTTTACAGTAGTTACTAAGTTGAAGTCATAATTTCTTATTTTGGTACAGAATTTATTTTGATACAGGATGAAGGTTATCATTGGTATAAATTTCTTCTAATGATACAAAAAATTTAAAAGTGCAAGGCTTGGACTCAGTCCTTCCATAATGTCATTACAAACTGATCTGAGATGTTTAAGCCTGTGAGTTAAGGGCCAAATTGCAAATTCATGGTTCTGAGTTTATTGTTAGAGTGTTTGCAGATAATTTAATTAGAAATAGCTGAGGGTAGTTATCGGACAACAGTCCAGATGACTTTACATAGAAAGTTGGTTTTCAAAAATGCCAGAAATCCACAGCATGTGACATTTAACGCTATTTATTCCTTTGTTGTTGAGACATATCTGCTCCTAGCAGCTCCCCTTTTGTGGATTCAAAGAAGAAAGGGAGCATCTCTACCTCCAGGTGAGGCTGTACATAGTGGCTAGGTGGTCCCTGGGCAGAAATTGCCTATCTCTGCTGCAGACTTGTACCGTTCTTGAGAGGACACAAGTTACAGGTTAGGACAGCTCAGTTCTGCCGATACAGAGTAAGCTAGTCCTTAATAATTCCTATTTTTCAAAGGTCTGTCAGATGATCCTGAGCCAGCAGGCTGGAGACTGATGCTCCAGCTTCCTGACTTACTGGGGCTGTGTGGGTAGGCAGTTGTCTCTACAGTGTGTCTCACTTCTGGAAGCTGAGTTAGTCTTCCTATATCTTCAGATAATGTTGCTCGTTCTCAGATTTCTGACGGGGTTGAAAGACTACTTATAGTCTCATAGCCAACAGAGGCTATTTAACATTGAGAAGATATATTTGTGAAGATAGTTCTGAGATAGTATACAAGCTAAACCAGGATATAACATATGGATTTATAAATCTTGTAAGTTAGGATAGATGACAGAGTGTTCTATTTAATCGCCAAAGATGATGGACTGGATGTTAGGTATATCTTATACTTTATAAATTACAAAATGGTAATAAAAATTTTAAAAAAAGATTCCCTAATAAAATTCATTTTTGCTATGCTAACATAAATTATATATGCTATAGGTATATATAACATTTATACATTAGATAAATATCATATTATATATTATATATATTTATAAAACAGAAGGGTATGTCTAAGACACATCAAGAACAACAGTATCTAGCAAGCAACCAGATCCCTGAGAGCTCCCAGGGACTAAACCACCAACCAAAGAGTACACATGGAGGGACCTATGGCTCCAGCCACATATGTAGCAGAAAATGGCCTTATTGGGCATCAGTGGGAAGAGAGGCCCTTGGTCCTGTGAAGACTTTATGCCCCAGTGTAGGGAATGCCAGGGCAGGGAGATGGGAGTAGGTATCTGGGTAAGGGAAACCCTCGTACAAGAAGGGGGAGGGAAGATGGGATAGGTAGTTTCCAGGGGGGTGAGGGAAACCGGAAAAGGGATAACATTTGAAATGTAAGTAAATAAAATATCTGCCCCCCCCCAAAAAAAAAGAGAATTGTAGTCTAACGCCATTACTGTGATTTGAAAATACAAGCAGAATGGAGCTGATATCACATCCATAGATATATTTCTAATATTACCTTGAGCCTTTGGATAGATATGTAAAAGAAGTGGTTTTGGGATTGGAAAGAAAGAAAAAGACTGGTATTATAAGACTGTGATAAACTGGTAGTGTGTGTGTGGCCGCCAGAGGCCACAAATCAACTAGGTTCACCTGAAAGGGGGCTGGGAACCAAAGGAAGACGGAGGGCGAGAAGAGATGAAGCCAAGATAAAGTTCTCTGATCAAGGCTCAATGTTTTAATGTTCAGATTAAAGGGGAAGGACCCGCCCAAACCCTTCCTATTTTCAGCCAGAGAGATGGGTGGGATAATCCGTTCTTGGTCATAGGTCACGGCCGGAGATGTCTCAAGGCAAGCCCAGGAGCAGTTTTTCTTTCAAGTTCCGGGCAGCCAAGGTGGGTAACGCTAACTAGATCCTATCACTTGATCTGTTGTGGTAAACAAGGGGTCTCAGGCCTGCTCAAGGCCAGGGGAAGGGTACAAGTGTGAATACAATATACCAGCCTCTCCTGCCTCTCTAGGTACTGGATCTGCTTTGCCTGGCCCTTTCCCATGTTCTAACCTTCCACGTCTGCTCAGGAATCATCTGATTTCAGGCTCACTGCAGCAGGAACAACATGAATAGACCCTTCATAACCTGAGGCATGAGAACTGTCAGACAATACTAACCTGAGTACATTCTCTGTAAATGATTCAACAGGCCCACAGACAAGCAGGACTCTGCAACTACAGTTCCCAGAGAGCCAGGGGATTATTCTAACCAGCCTTGGGGCAGGGCAACTTGGACAGCCAATGAGCTCTTCCTCTGCAGACCTTGGCTAGGAGTATATAGCCTCCCACTAGCTTCCTGGTCGCAGGCCCTGCTACACCGGGTAAGAAGAGCTCCCTGGCTGCTGGACTGACTTGCAGTGTTCTTCAAAACCGGGATTTCACCTTGTTTCACGGGAAGACCAGTAAGCAGAATTCTACCCAGGCCTAAAAGGCAAGTTCTAAAGTGATTCAGAAAGCTCTGTGGTCATACTAATTGTGTAAATGTTTCACAGAGCACTGGTGGGTGTAAGGAACAGATTCTCAACCTGTGGGTCACAACCCCCTAGGGGACTCGAACGACATTTTCACTGGGGTAGCCTAAGACCATTGGAAAGCAGAGATGTTTACATTGCGATTCACAACAGCTGTGAAGTAGCAATGAAACTAATTTTATGGTTGGGGTTACATCACGAGGAACTGTAGCATTGGAAGATCTAGAACCAGTGGTATGAGGGATGCTTGGCTCAAAGTAGCTGGCATAGCTAGGACACATTACCAGAGAGAATCAGAGTAAGTCTCTTTAGATTGTCTAAAACTCTGTTTCCTAACGGTAAGATAGGAGCTAATGATGGTGCCTACTTAAAAGTCTTGTGAGGTTTAAGTATATATGTTACCAGAGAACTGTTACAATTGTATTTCCCTTGGGGCATCTTTTGACACTGATATCTACTAGTCCTCTGTCTCCAACAGGGAGAGTCCCAAAGGGCATAGTTAACGGTGCAGGGAGCAAACTGATAACACTTCTTGCTCAGTTTGCACTAGCTGAGAAGAAATTGCCCAATAGCCCTAAGTGTCCAGTCTTGTTAGATTGAGCATCTGTGATATCCAGGGGTATGCTCATAGGTATGTTCTGTCTTGCTGGAAAGAACAGTGAAAAGGAGGCTTGAGTAACACAGACAGTGCAAAGGACATATTCAATTAACTAAAGAAGAAAGACTTTAGACTCTTAGGCTTAGCCACTGGTTGGTGGCTTCTGACTGGAACCTTAAGAAGGCAGGAACTCGCCGGGCGGTGGTGGCGCACGCCTTTAATCCCAGCACTTGGGAGGCAGAGGCAGGTGGATCTCTGAGTTTGAGAGTTTGAGGCTAGCCTTGTCTACAGAGTGAGTTCCAGGACAGCCTGGGCTGTCCAATGAGCTCTTCCTCTCATTAACAAGGTACCAGCTTCATTTTCAGTCAGACTATAGAGACAGTCCAGAGTTCTATAAGGGTAAGGAGCCTTCCAAGGCAAAGGCCCAAGAACAAGGGGCCTTCGTGCTCTGCTCTGGTGTGCTTCTGGTTCATGGGCTGGATGGTTTCTAGGACAAGCTTCCTGGACCCCTCTCTGAACTGTTTTCTTTCACTAAGTTTCTTTTAACCCCTGGGTCCAAATAACGATTCCACCCTGTTGCTCCTGAATCCTACCAGGTCCCACATGCCCTCAGTTTATGGGGTCCATATGCTTCACTATTTATCTTCTGTGCCCATCAAGAGGACCATCAAACCCAGTCAGTTTTGTGTGTATTTGTAAGTGTTGTGTGGTTGCTTTGGATAAGCAATGTTATGAAGTTACATAAGGTAATGTTATAAAGTTATATAAAGTAAGCTTTGTTACACCTCCAGTCCTCCATATTGCATCCTCCCTCACTTTAATCAGAATAAGTTCTATCTCAGGATTTGTAGGAAGCCACTAGAGTTCCTGCCTTTTTTTTTGTTTTTTGTTTTGTTTGTTGTTTTTTGAGACAGGGCTTCTCTGTATAGCCCTGGCTGTCCTGGAACTCACTTTGTAGACCAGGCTGGCCTCGAACTCAGAAATCTGCCTGCTTTTGCCTCCCAAGTGCTGGGATTAAAGGCATGTGCCACCACTGCCTGGCTTTTTGTTTTTCTTTCTTTCTTTTTTTTTGTTTTTGTTGTTTTTGGTTTTTTTTGTTGTTGTTTTTCGAGACAGGGTTTCACTTTATAGCCTGGGCTGTCCTGGAACTCACTCTGTAGACCAGGCTGGCATCGAACTCAGAAATCCACCTGCTTCTGCCTCCCAACCGCTGGGATTAAAGGAGTGCGCCACCACCGCCTGGTGAGTTCCTGCCTTCTTAAGGTTCCAGTCAGAAGCCACCAACCAGTGGCTAAGCCTTAGACTCTAAGGTCTTTCTTCTTTAGTTAATTGAATATATGTCCTTTGCACTGTTGTCTGTGTTTTAGGAAAGTTGTCTCCAGCTACAGCCTCTTTGGAATATAGGACCACTTGGGATCTGATGCTTCTGGCTTGCTTTCTCAATTGCTGTCTGCTCAAATAAGCTATTTAATTTTAAATACATTTATTTTTGATAGTTCCAATGAGACAGTATTGGACCAGATCTTTCTAGTTCTGGTCTTTTTTGATCTTCAGGTTCCAGTTTTGCTATTTTTGCTTTGGTGTGGATTTTATGGGTACCAAGATGTCCTGTACTCTCTGAGTAGTCAAGGATGAACTTCTTCTCAATTACCTCCATGTCCTGAGTGGTAGCATCACAGGCATAGGCTTCTCCATCTGTTTCTGCCATGCTGGGGATGCAACTAAGGGCAGTGTCCATATTAGGCAAGCACCTAAGCCACTGAGCTACACTTTTAGCCCCTAATTTTTATTGTATGTATGTAGGTGTTTTCATGCCATATGTGTGTACCATGTATGTGCCGGAAGAGGGTATCAGCTGCACTAGAACTGGAGACATAGCTGGTTGTGAAGGGCCATCTGGGTGCTGGAACCAAAGCTGGGTTCTTTGGAAGAGCAGCCAGTGGTCTTTACCACTAAGCCATTTCTGCCGCCTCAATTTTTGATTTCTCCGTTCCAGTTTCTTAAAAGACAAGGCTTCTTCAGCAGTCATAACAATCACCCTTTTCTCATCCTATGTTAGATTTAAAAATCTCCTGTTCACAGCAGGCTTTTGCTGCAGCCCCTCATTTCTTAGTTTCTCCTTTTCATTTATTTCTTCTCCAGCGAGGAAGAGGAAGCACTTCCTTGAGAGCTTATAGTCATTGTCATTCTCGTTTTTGTTAGCCTTTGAGGCTAACTTCCCCTCTGTGAAGTATTTACAGAGCAGTCTTTGAGGGCAGCAACTTTCCTTCAATACTTTGGACACACTGTTTCATTATTTTATGTCGGAATATGTCTGCGGAACATTCTGGCACCAGATGGAGAATTTCTTTGTTGTGAAGTACTTTCTTTGCTGCATGGCCAGGCAGTTCACTTTCATTTTGCCTTCCACAGATTTAATGACAACATATTCCAGCATCAGACTTTTCCAGGCGTTTGTCCCGCTTATTCGTCGGATACAATTTCTCCCATTTCCCTTCCCGTTTCAGACACACGTTTGTTTCTCCTCACATACATTTGCTGTTTCTCCTCTAAAGTGGTGTTGGGGGCCTTGTTGTTTCTGCCTTTCATCTCCTGACTCTGGAATGGATTTGTCCTTTATTAGCCGTCACTGTAATTATGGAGCTGCTCTTCCAAAATGAGATGCTATAGTCTTTCAAAGGTACATTCATTAAATTCTTGGTTCAAAGCCTACTCTGCCACTGCTGGATGGTAGAGCATTGAGGAATTGTGGGTAATTTTATAGTCAATTGACAAGTGTGGGGTACATCTTTGGACATGATGTTGGGACTTCCACCCTCCTCCTCCTCCTCCTCCTCTCTGACTTTCCTAATGTTATGAATTGAGAAGTTTGTTCCACTACATGATACATTGCCTCAGGAGAGGCCTAAGCAAAGTGGAGGACAACTGACCATGGTCTCAGAACTGGGAAACAAAATTAAAATATCCTGAAACTGAAAACTGACTGAGAGAAAAGTAATGGGGGTTGAGGGCTCATTGCTGTGACTCAGAATTGTTTGGCTCAGAAACCTTTGGATTTGCCTCACAAAAGAGTTTTTGGGGAGTTTGAGGTGTGTCTTGAGAAGTGCAAGAGTGCCTAAGCAGATTGTTAACATGGTTTTCAGAAAGCCAAATACAAATGGAACTGTGGACATGAGGCTGAAGTTTGAGATGGAAGAACTTACTGGGAATTGGACTAGAGGCTACCCAAGTCACACCACGTCAAAGATCCCCTGAGGCTCGTGTTAGGATGAGCTTGAAGGTAGTAATTTATTGAATTGAAGGGGTAATTTATTGAATGGAGATTTCAAGGCAGCACAGAGTTTCAGGAAGTGACATAGATGTTATCAGTTGATTGCAGCCAGCCAGGGAGACTGCAGTGAGCTCAGCAAGAATCAGAACTGCAAGATTTGGAAAACTTGCAATTCAGCCATAACAGGTACATATAATTTTCATGAACAAGAGCTAAGTTCTTGAGTCTCATAAAATGATGAAGCCAAGCATGACCACTGGGATAACAAATAGGAAGGATGCCGTGGGGGCATTTCTAGAAATAGCTAGCTCTCTTCCTTCTCAGATTCAAAGATGGAAAAGTGAAAAATTGTCTCCTGTTTTCTAGGGCAGAGTCTTTCGATAAAGGAAGGAACTGTGCTTTCCTTCCTTATCATTTTTTTAAGCTGCTGCCAGTGAAAACTGTCCAACTGTGGGTCTAATGAGCACCAGTGAAAGACCTTAGAGTCTTGGTAAACATGATTGCTGAGTGGGTATGGGTGTGGGTGTGGGGTGACTGCCACCAAATCCGATCTGAGTTTCTTTTTCTTTTTTCTTTTGGTTTTTCGAGACAGGGTTTCTCTGTGTAGCCCTGGCTGTCCTGGAACTCACTCTGTAGACCAGGCTAGCCTCGAACTCAGAAATCCGCCTGCCTCTGCCTCCCAAGTGCTGGGATTAAAGGCGTGCACCACCACCGCCTGGCATGATCTGAGTTTCAAACCCACAAACCACATGATAAAAGGAAAGAGCCAGTTCTCTCAAGTTGTCCTCTGACTTCTACAGGTACACACACACACACTTAAAAACAAAACTAGTAGAGTCACAGGCATACAGGTTTATACTCAGATTTGAAAGAAAATCCTGGGAAGTGAGGCAGTGTGTGAAAGGGTAGGGTTGGTGTAATCAGAGACCAGCAGACTGATTCATAGATCTGCTGGAGGGAAGCTTGGCTGCACTGGAAATCCAGTCATTGGAAATTAAAGGATTGGATCAAATGAATAGAAAAGAATATTCCCTGAGTAACCAAAATTATCAAGTAGCTATGCATGATTCGCTATGTAGCTTTTCTGCCCA